TTTTTTTTTTTTTTTTAAAGACAGAGTCTCGCTTTGTTGCCCAGGCTGTAGTGCAGTGGTGCAATCTTGGCTCACCACAACCTCTGCTTCCTGGGTTCAAGCAATTCTCCTGCCTCAGCCTCCCGAGTAGCTGGGACTACAGGCACACGCCACTATGCCTGGCTAGTTTTTGTATTTTTAGTGGAGACGGGGTTTCACCATGTTGGCCAGGCTGGTCTCGAACTCCTGACTTCATAATCTACCTGCCTCAGCCACTCACGCCTGGTATTATAAGCGTGAGCCACTGTGCCTGGCTTGAATTATCTCTTTAAAGCACAAATCAGATTACACTATTTCCCTGATTAAAACTCTTCTTTGATCTCCCATTGCCCTTTGAACAAAATTCAAAGTGTTTTCCATGGTCAACAAGGTTCTGTCTCATCTCAACCGTTCTGTTTTCCCTGTTGCTTACCCAGCCTTGGTGCCTGTTCTTTTTTATGTTCCTTGGACATGCCAAGCCTTTTCCTGCAGCCGAACCTTGTAATTCTTATATCTGTTGCCTGCACTCTTTCCCTAGCTTTGCAAATGCCTGGCTCATTCTCATCCTTCAGATCTCAGCTGATATCTCACTTTCTCAGAGAGGCCTGACCCCATCATTCCTCTAAGGCCCTGTCTTATCATTGTGTAATTATCTATCTGCATTGTCATCTCTCCTCAGGAGAACATTAGTTCTTTTGTGACTAGACCTACCTTACATTAACAATTGTATCCTCTTTAAGTGTCACAGAAGCTGGCTCATAGGAGCTCAATAACTGAGAAGTAAATGAATGGACTCATAATTGACTGAAAGGGTGTTGGAGTCATATTAAAAATGAATTTGAGGTCAGGTGTGGTGGCTCATGCTTGTAATCCCAGCATTTTTTGGGAGTCCAAGGCGGGCGGATCACTTGAAGTCAGGAGTTCGAGACCAGCCTGGCCAGCACAATAAAACCCTGTTTTCATTAAAAATACAAAAATTAGCTGGGTGTGGTGGCACCTGCCTGTAGTCCCAGCTACTTGGAGGCTGAGGCAGGAGAATCCCTTGAACCTGGCAGGCGGAGCTTGCAGTGAGCTGAGCTCGAGCCGCTGTAGTCCAGCCTGGTAAAGAGACTGAGACTCAATCATCAAAAAAAAAAAAAAAAAGGAAAATTTGAACCTGAGCTTTGCCATTTCTGTATGACTTTGGGCAAATTATGCTATCTCACTGGGCTTTAGTTGGCTCATTCATATAATAGCAATTCTATCTACCTCACAGAAAGTTGTGCAGGTCAATTAAGATATTGGCTATGAATGTACCCACCACCATATCTGATACATATTAGGTATTCAGTCCACAACCAGTCAAATAATTCTGAACATGCATAGAAGAGTTCTGTCATGTTTCAGCCTCATTAATAGAACTGTTTGTGTGTTGTGCCTGTGTGTGTGTGATCCATAAGATGCCTATGGCTTCCCTCAGGTAACACCTGGCTGGGAAGACAGTTCTAACCCAGGGTGTCAGCTGTTGCACTGAGTGATACTCAATCTGATTACCCAGAGGTGCCAAGCACAGAGCCTTCACTGCAGAGCTGAACACAGAGCCTAAAATCTTAGCGATCAAATCTAACATCGTGTGGCCCAGGCTGGTTGTCAAGATAGATGGTGTGTCTAGACAGTTATCTCCCTTGGGAAATCACAGTTGCTCTAAAAGGAGGCACATGGTCTCCTGTTAAGAATACAAAACAGGCCTGTGAGCTGTTGAGGGTGAGGTTGCTGCTTGAGGTTGCATGGGCCTATGGAGCAGAGCCGGGGGAAAGAAGCTGTCTGCTTCTATACTCACAGGAATCTCTGGATCATGGTGGTGGCCTTCTTCTTCACTCATGTCGGGACGGCAGAGTCCGTGGTGCATGGGAAGGTGGAAACATAGCTATCAGCTTTCCCAGTGGCAGTGATTCTGTGCCTCCACTCAAGAGTGTTGGGACGAATTGAAAGGCAAGTCTGGAATATGCATTACCTGCTGGGGAGGGGAGCAGAAATCTCCCTGCAGCTTGCGTTCTTGGTATGATGATCTAGGTGGCTCCCATCTGAATGCTGTTAGGATGAGTGTTGTAAGGTGAGGGCTCTAGAATTAGTTCTGGCCCTGGGTTCAAATCCTGGAGATGCAGTGACCTTGATCAAGTTATTTAATGTCTTAGCCATAGTTCGCCGATTATTAGATGGAGGTAATAATGACCTGTATCTTACCTAGTTGCTGTGAGGATTAGATGATATAGTGCCTGGCACATAGCCAGCGTTCAGTAAATGATCATTCTTTTTATTAGTCAGGATAGTTCAGGATTTTGAGTTTAGTATTTCTTTTTCTTTTTTTCTTTTTATTTATTTTTTTTTGCCCTCTGTGAACGAAAGGTTTGGTACTTCTGATGAGCCTCACCTACACAGAACTTTCAGTCCTGCTTAGGTGAAGCTGCTAGCTATGTGCCTTGGACAAGTTATGGAACCTGTCTGAGTCAGTGTTCTTATCTGTTACATGCAGTTTACAGTTCCCATCTCACAGTGAGGATGAAATAAGATCAGAGCACCTGATACGTAGTTAGTGCTCAAAACACTTATTTCCTCCCCTTTGGTTCTCAAGTATCTGAAATACGGTCCCTTTAAGCTTGTTAAGATTCCTCACTAGCCTTGTATGCAGCTGTGGGCAGAGAGCTTTGGCAGAAGGAAAGACTTTTTGTTTTTTTTTTAAATGACTGTTTCATAATCTGTTGGCTCAAATCTGCTGCTGCCACACCCTATGCCTCTCTGGGTCCCTGCGTCCTGTTGCAGTTATCATATGCCTCACCTTTAACCTAAATGACCCTGGGAAGTGGCTGCTATGGCAGAATTTACTGAATGCAAAATGGATTTTCTTCCTTGCTCTTTGGGGCAAAGCTGGCTCAGAGATCCTTAGCTGCAGGGGGAGGGGCTGGCAGGCCTGAACTGCAGTTGGACTTAGCGGCCAGGGGTTTTCTGGTTTTCATTAAAATTCTCTGGCTGTCTTTCGGGATAGCTCCATTGGATATGACTGTGCACTGGAGCCGTTTGTGCTGTTCTCTCAGCTATACACACCCATCAAATTACAGTGCCCCTGAGGACAAGAGAAAATTGAAGGTAGGGAGTGGCCTGGCTGAGGGGTCTTGCTCAGTAATCTTTGTGGTAAGGGGCCTCCATTTATAACTGCAGAGCTTGGGTTTTGCAAAGTCTTAAATACAGATGGGGAGGCAGACATGGCTGAGCTGGGATTGGATTGCAGAGAGAATCCTGTTACAGCTTGCTCTTGAGGACAGACTTGCTCTTGAAGACAGATGGAGGTTTCCTGGCAGCTGTCGGGAGTCCCCAAGTGTTACATTAATGAAAATGGCCTGATATGATTATTCTTTTTTGTTTTTGTTTGTTTGTTTTTTCATTTGATTTGATCATTCTTTGGAAGTATCTGATACCCTCATATGCCCAAGGGGGTTGGGGGTGGGCGATGCAGTTTTCTGAGGGTGACAGGGTGAATAAAAGAGGTTTGAGATATTTATTTATTTATTATTGTTTTCTTAATTCCCAATGTGGTAGCAGAGGATTCAGTTTGGAATGTTAATTTCTGGTGGCCGTAGGAATCTCACTTGAGACTGAAAGTTAAACCTGCAAACCTAGGTTCAAATCATGACTCTGCTATTAACTTGCTTTATGACCTTGGGCAAGTTACTTTCCTGGATCTCAGCTTCACCATGTGGTTGTAGGGATTAAACGAGATAAATTATGTAAAGCTCTTGGCATATCGAGTGTTCTCAATAAATGGGAGATGTTATTATAAATTGGCCTAGATTTAACCTGTCACTCCAGTTTGCCAAGATATATTCCAATTCTGTCCTGTAAAACATTTGTTCTGCATCCCTCCCAGCTTTGTATCATTTAAGAACTTGAGGCAGGCCGGGCTCGGTGGCTCACGCCTGTAATCCCAACACTTTAAGAGGCTGAGGTGGGCAGATCACCCAAGGTCAGGAGATCGAGACCAGCCAACATGGTAAAACCCTGTCTCTACTAAAAATACAAAAATTAGCTGGGTATGGTGGTGTGTGCCTGTAATCCTAGCTACTTGGGAGGCTCAGGCAGGAGAATCATTTGAACCTGGGAAGCAGAGGTTACAGTGGGCTGAGATCGTGCCATTGCCCTCCAGCCTGAGCAAGAGTGAGACTCCGTCTCAAAAAAAAAAAAAAAAAAAAAAAAATTAGAGGCAAATTAGTGTTCCCTAGGGCAGGCTGAAGCTCCTCTCCCTGGAAAAATACCTCAAAACCATATTATTATGTTTCCCAATGAGATGCTTAAGATGTCGGGTAGATCGTATCTACGTAACTTAGAAAAAATGGATTTTTCTTTTTTTTTTAAAGATGGGGAAAAAATGGATTTTTCTATCATTGTTGATGGATAGATTATGAGAAAGCCATTTTAATTGATGTTGGGTATAAATGTTCCCTGATGTTACTCCAAGAGAGGATCATTAAGGTTCCTATTTGCTTTTAGGGTAAACTCCTTTTCCAGTCTTTTTTCCTTTTACTCTACTCTTCAAACCCTGTGGTCTAGCTATGGTGGACTGCTTACATAAAAATAATTAATGTGAAACATACAGTGCATATGAAAGAATGTTTTAAATGCATATTTACAATTTAAAGAAGAACATTAAAATTGTGGCCAGATGCAGTGGCACATGTTTGCAATTCAAGCTACTCAGGTGGCTGAGGTTGGAGGATTGCTTGAGGCCAGGAGTTCAAGACCAGCCTGGGCAAAATAGTAAGACAATGTCTCAAAAAATGAAAGAAGGAAAATTGTGAATTTGCCATCCAATTTATCAAATGGAACATTATTAGTTCCCTAGAAGCTGTTTGTCAACTCTCTGCCCTGAAATCATACCCTGTTTCCTCCTTACAGACATAATGATATCCTGACTTTTGTGTTCATCATTCTCTTTTCTGTATGGTTTAACCACCTGTGTTTGTATTACTAAAACAATTTTTTTTTTTTTAAAGCAAGAAGCAAGCACAAACCTAGCAAGCTTTTTAAGTTACTGTTGTCACTTTTAGATCTAAACTCTGGCTCATAATCTGGCTTTAGATTTCCAGGGTGTTTAAAAGACTCTAATGGGGATCAGTCAGTGGGCACGGATGTGAGTGAATCCTAGGAAATAAGGATCACTACTATTGAGACATCTGACAGGGTTGTGGTGTGGGCAGACACTGGACATCTGGTAGGAATATGGTCACAGAGAATGCATGGCTCTGTCTTTTCTACTTCCAGTCTCTCTTTGGCCTCCTTTCAATTCTCAAGGAGTAGGTCAAAGCAAAACTCTTCTGTAGCGTAAAGTGAATGTCACCAACTAATCCAAACAAATAGTGTGAAGGAGATGAGCAGGTGCTTCATCAGCACATGATCAAGACAAATAGAGGCAGAAAAGAACCTGGACCAATATGCAGGCTGGGTGGGGTAGCTCACGCTTGTAATCCCAGCACTTTGGGAGGCTGAGGTGGGTGGATCACTTGAGGCTGAGAGTTCGAGACCAGCCTGATCAACATGGAGAAACCCGTCTCTGCTAAAAATACAAAATTAGCTGGTTATGGTGGCATCCGCCTCTAATGCCAGCTACTCAGGAGGCTGAGGCAGGAGAATCTCTTAAACCCAGGAAGCGGAGGTTGCGGTGAGCCGACATCGCGCCCTTGGAAACAAAGCCAAAAACTCTGTCAAAAAAAAAAAAAAAAAAAAAAAGAGAGAGAGAGAGGGAGAACACGTAGCACCACTTTTGGAATATTCTTACCCAAATTGACTCATAAAAATCTCACCAAGCCTCTAGAGCTAACTTTCATATATTGGAAAGATGGGGGAAAGCATGACAAGTTGAATTACACTCTAAAGAAACAAACAGAAAAATTTAGAATGTAGAACATTCTGTCAGACAACTGACTTGGCTTCTATAACAAGTCAGTGACATGGAAAAAATAATAAAGTGACTTAAGAATTATAACCAGATGTCATGTGTGAACCTTGTTTGGCTTAGGATAGTCTGTGTATTAGTTTGCTAGGGCTGTCATAACAAAATACCGCACATGGGGTGGCTTACACAACAGAAATTGATATTTTCACAGCTCTGGAGGCTAGGAGTCCAAAGTCAGGGTGCTAGCAGGATTGGTTCCCTCTGAGGCCTCTCTCCTTGGCTTGCAGATGGCTGCCTCTTGCCACCTCCTTGCATGGTCATTGCTCTGTATATGCACACTCCCAGTGTCCTGCTACATGTCCTAGACTCCACTTATAAGGACACCAGTTAGATTGGATTAGGGCCCACCCTAAAGACCTCATTTTAACTTAATTACCTCTTTAACAGCTCTATCTCCAAATACATGAACAGTCACATTCTATGGTACTAGGAATTAAGGCTTCAACATATGGACATGTGGGGGGACACAATTTAGTTTAATTGCAGAGACTTTTTTTTTTTCTTTGAGACAAAGTCTCACTCTGTCAGCCAGACTGGAGTGCAATGGCACGATCTTGGCTCACTGCAACCTCTGCCTCCTCTCCTGCCTCAGCCTCCTGAGTAGCTGGGATTACAGGTGTATGCTGCCACGCCCAGCTAATTTTTGTATTTTTAGTAGAGATGGGGTTTTATCATTTTGGCCAGGCTGGTCTTGAACTCCTGACCTCAGGTGATTAGTTCTCCTTGGCCTCTGAAAGTGCTGGGATTACAGGTGTGAGCCCCTGAACCCAGTCAAAAAGAGACTTTTTTTTTTTTTTTGAGATGAAGTTTTACTTTGTCACCCAGGCTGGAGTGCAGTGGCGTGAACATGGCTCACCACAGCTTTGACCTCCTGGGCTCAAGCAATCCCCCCACTTCAGCCTCCCAAGAAGCTGAGACTACAGGCATATACCACCACACCCAACTAATTTTTTTATTTTTTGAAGAGATGAGGTCTCACCATGTTGCTCAGGCTGGTCTTGAACTCCCGGGCTCAAGCGATCCTCCTGCTTTGGCCTTTCAAAGTGCTGGGATTATGGGCACGAGCCACCACACCTGGCATTGAAAAGACATTTAAAAAAAATTTTTTAAAATAGCTTTGGGGTACAAGTGGTTTTTGGTTACATAGGTAAATTGTACAGTGGTGACTCCAGAGATTTTAGTATACCTGTCCACCAAACAGTGTACACTGTACCCAATATGTAGTCTTTTATCTCTTACCCCCCTTGCCCACTCCTTCCCCAGGTTCCAAATTTCATTATGCTGCTCTGTATTGCTTTTGTGTGATCATAGCTTAGTTCCCACAAGTGAGAAAATAAGGTATCTAGTTTTCCGTTCCTGAGTTACTTCACTTAGAATAGTGGCTTCCAGCTCAATCCAAGTTGCTGCAAAAGACATTATTCTGTTCCTTTTTATGGCTGAATAGTATTCCATCGTGTATATATACCACATTTTCTTTATCCACTCATTGGTCGATGGGCACTTAGGTTGGTTCCATATCTTTGTGATTGTGAATTGTGCTGTTACAAGTATGCATATGCTGAGTAAAAAGACATTTTTGAGATGTTGGGGGAAATTTTATGGACTGGGTATTGGATGATATCAAGGAATTGCTTTAATTCAGGTGTGAGAATAGTAGTATAAGGTAAGATGAATAATATAGAGATGACTTCTGAGGTATATAAGAATAAAATGGTATGATATAGAATTTGTTTAAAAATCTTTAAACAGCCTGGGTGCAGAGGTTCATACCTGTAATCCCAGCATGTTGGGAGACTGAGGCAGGTGATTTACTTCATCCCAGAGGTTGAGGCTGCAGTGAGCTATGATGACACCACTGCACTCCAGTCTGGGCAACAGAGTGAGGCCCTGTCTCAAAATACATAATAATAAAATATTTAAACAAAGAAAAAATAAGGGGGAAAACGGGATAGATTAAGTTAACATGTCAAAACCTTGGTAATTGTTGAATTTTGGTAATGAGTATAGGGGCCCTACTTTTATGTATGTTTGAAAACTTTATATTATATATTTAAAATATTTGAACACAACACACGAGTTTAATGGCAGCAGGGTTGTTGGTGATGACTGTCTTCAGTGTGTCTGTCTCTTGTGTCTTTAG